GGGGGGGGGGGGGGTGGGCGGGCAAAGGGTGGGGATTTGACAAATTTTAAATTTTTTTGATCAAATTCCCCAGGGTGGGAAACGAAAGGTCAATCAAAAGTGTCAAAAAAGCCCCCAACCCTGGGGAAAAAATCTTAACAAACAATACTATAATACTGCATAAAACGAATTAAAAGAACATTTCAAAAGTACGTCCTTACTAAACATAAGCTCCGTTAAATTACTCGCTGTAATTAAGTATTTTCTCTCTCCACTAGCTAGCATCTCTTATTTTGAACAACAAAATCACTCTAGGAAGATTGACCGTGCTATCATAATATAAAAAAATATTAATGAAACGTAAAATGCTTTATAACATCTGCTCAACATGTCGGAACAGGTCGGATCAGTGACCTGTAAAAAATCCTCTGACTTTCATGGTGGAATTAGATTTCAATCGAGTTTTACAATCAGATGGGAACTTGAAGATAAAAACTTTCTTAAAATAGACATTATCTGTTTAGATGACAGTTTAAAATATCGGATTATGGCGATCAAAACCAATGAAAACTTCTCACCTTTCTCCAACAGCGTGACTTTCAGAAAGCCTCGAGGGACGGACTTGGCATCCGCTTCTGAATTGATATCCTTCTTCTGTCGGTCAAAGTCAAATGTCCCGACCCCGGGGCCGCTTCGCACGATCAAAAGCCCGACAGGGCGATAGTCTCAGGCATCAAATCCCCGCCCCTTTCCCGCACTCCCCCCTCACGGGATTTACATTGATAGGTGCATTAGGCGGGTTGAATTTAGAGACAGGTTAAGGGCTTTCCCTCCCCAGGGACACAGCAAACTGTCCGTAATAATGTGGTGTCCGCAAACCTGCAGCCAGATCCAGTTATGGACGCCTTTTTCGCGTCCCGAGGGTTTCCGCTTACGAGAACTCCCACTGTATCTTACACATCCTTGCTTATATTTCGACTTACAGTCAAGCCAGGTCAAGCGTCCCCCCCCCCCCCCCCCCCCCCCCCACGCCACCCATCCCGTCTTACCCCACTCCCCCCAGAACCACGAAAACTTGCGCTAAAACTGGGTGTCCCCACACCCCGAGCCCCACGCCCTTTTTTGGCCCCTTTTTCCGCTCCCAGGGGTTTCCCCTTACAAAACCCCCCCCTTTTTCTTCACACCCCTTTTTTTTTTTTCCCCTAAAAACAAAGCCCGGCAAAGCGCCCCCCCCCCCCCCCCCCCCGCAAGATTCCCTCAATGAATTTATTACTCGAAAATTGAATCCGTTGGTAGTTGTAGATTTCCGATTCATCGGTGCATTCTTGCATGTATGATGAGCCGTGAATTCTCACGCAAGGCAGTTACGAAATTTCTACCAGCTCAGTTCCCCTGAATTTGATGAAAATATCTTCTAAAAAATTTAATCCATTCAAAGATTTTCAATCTGACCAAATACAGAGAAGTTCTCGTAAAATATTCACTACTCATTACACATGCAGGAAGGCCGAAAAGAATTTGACGTCAGTCACGGGAACGACTAACGGATTCATTTTTCATATAATAAATTCATTAATAGAATCTTGGGGGGTACGCTTGACCTGCCTTGACTGTAATGGTAAATGAAATGCCGCTAATTGAAAAGAAAACGCCTCAAACGTTTGAACGCGCTAGAAGTCTAGTTGTCTGGAATCCTTTTTAAAAAGGTGTACATCTAGAAGAAGAGTCAACTGTCCTCTAAACAGACGTGTCGCCCCCAGCTGGTTCTTTCCTTTCTACCAGTGGTATAAGATCTTTGTCATCTGGAGTTGCTTCTCCAACAAAATTTGGGAGTGGTTTTCCACGTGTCTCGGGGAGCAGAATGGCGGTGAGACCAGCTGAAAACGACGTAGCACCAAACACGATTGCAGGGACGACTAACGGAGTGCTGTCCTGTAATGGAAAGGTAACAAACGATCGTCACCGAAAAACCGCGGTTATAATCCCTTGCACCATTCCCTATGATTGCAGGCTTATCATCTATTTCGACACTAACAGCTTACTTAGGTCAGTAAAGACCCTCCAGAAATAACCCAAGGGTACTAGCCTAGACATAACCCCTTACAACATTGTATCAGTTTTCCCAGGCCTTATGGCGCAGATTTTATAGTACCTTCAAGAAACTTGTTTCATGGAAAAGCGAGTTTCGGTTTTGAAATATATGCCACTATTTTAACAGGGTAGTTTTGATTTCACTCTCTTACACAACAACGTCGAGACGAGCGAAGGGCTACTCGTCAGTTTTTGAATGGTTGCTAGAGGCCGGTACAAATATTGTCACAGGACGCAAACTAGTTTCTTTCTAGCTCCTAGTGTAGGACAGTTCTTAATGCTTTTCTTTTTTTTTTGCTCACCACTATGTAAGGAGCTGCCATTCCTCCAATTCGGGCGCACAAAGAGGAGAAACCAACTCCAATGGTCCTGTTAATGAAACAAGACAAAACAATAAACCCTCTTCTTCGCCAGAAAAACCTCGTTCCCAGGGGACGAGTAGGATGGAAACCTAAGAACGGGGCTGGTAAACCGGTAGATACATACCGTCCAAAAGAATAGAAGGAAGCCTTTTGTTAAATGTATTGCACTAATTGCTTGTTCCCTGAAACGTTCTAAAGAATTAGGCGAGAGAATTAGACAAAAGACCAAAGCATTTGCCTTTTGGTAATCATCTCATTGACTCTCGAAATCTTTTCTTTTAACCGTAATGTATAAATATTTTTTTTGGAAAAAATTGATGTTGATCATACTTGGGCCTTAAAGACTTAACCCATTCACAATTCAACCGCCAGTTGGATCCTCTTCCCTTGCAACGCTTTTGACGCCGATGAGTTTTAATGGTCATAGACTGCAGACAATTTTGACATTTCACTTATCTTGAGCCGGCGGGTGGGGGAATCTTTCATAGCATGCCCGAATGAGCGCAGACAAGAGAGTATAGAGCTCTATATCCTCTCCTGGCGCGAAACATTCAAACATGGTGGGAAAAACGCAAAAAGCCATGTTAAGTTGACCAGAAATTCTGTCAAAATGATTCCTTCAAATTAAGGTCGCCCGTTACAGTAAGCCCTCGATCTCAACGATCTTAAGGAAAAACAGGGGATTGTAAACAGGCTAGTGTCTTCCACTCCATGTTGTGTTATTACCTTATGACTGTTGGGTACAGTTCCGCGGTGTGTATATAAATCTGGTAATAAGCAGCAGAAATAGTAAACTTTCCAATCAAGGCCAGTGCCATGATGAGAGCTTTATGATCATCTTGCTTTCCTGAGGAAAAAGATAGTGAATTCATTCAGAAGCATTTTTTAATCTCCTGGTTGGTGCAAATTAAGTACTACAAGGGCAATTTTGTTGTCGGTTTTATTCGTTAATTCTAATAGGGTAATAGCGAAATGGCATTTCTCTCTTTGTTATATAAAAACTACGGTACAACCTCACTTTTCATTCTCGCATACATACCGAGGGTTGGTTTGCCCCTTATCGGTGGGCTGGGTGGGGTAAGAAACGTAATGCGACATCATATTTTGGGGCAATGGAAAGAAAATTAGAAAATTGTTTCTACATCTTTCGCTTCTAAATGGCCGTGATACCCTTCGAGCAAGCCCTCCAATCCGATTGGCGAGCAAAATGAGCCGGGGGAGAACGCATAAGCAAGCGGCAAACCCCCGCCCATCGCTCCCGTGTTTCCTTTCACGTGCTTCTCGCGCATGACTTCTTGTAATGTCCCCCAAATGAAGAGCATGCTCGGTGGCTATAGTCTGCTACACAGCCGTTTTTAGTGTCGTCACGCAACGCTCCTCCCCACTTAGTGGAGAGGAGCATTGCGTGACGACACTAAAAACGGCTGTGTAGCAGACTACGGTGGCTATGGCCGTTATGCAGAATTTATATTCGAAGGTACAGGTTCGACTGTGTTTAGATTGTTTCCAAGTATTTAACTGATAATGTCTTTCCCACGGTCAAGATTATAAGCATGGCGAATACGGTCTGACTAGATCAGAGTGACTGCAGTTACTTGAGCATTCTACCTGATAGTTGTATGAAGAAAACACATATCAAAGCCACTCCTCCAATAATATAATAAGCCACCAAAGGAAAACGGCGGTTCACTCTGTCAGAAAAAAATTAAACAGGGCGATATGAGAAAAAAGACAACTAAATTGTAGTGAGGAGGACGAGTAAAACCTTAGTTTTTTGTAAGCGATAGTACAACCCTGTACAAAAGGCGACCACAACACATCTAGAACGCTATGATCTAATCGACGGATCGGATCCCACTTACGTCTTCGTCGTTTACGATCTGGTTAATCGGAATCGTAGAAAGAAGGGGAAAAAAAATAGCAAACCCGTCACATGGTGAGGGTATGAGCATTTTCATTGGTATATTCTTCCGCGTCTGTTTCTATAACAATGCTTATGAAAATCTAATTTTCACTCTCTCGTTTTCACGAGGTCGTAAGCGACGGAGTTACAAGCGGTGTCCTAATGGAAACGTATTGATTCTTGCGCTTATAACTCCACTTAGGACTCCGATTTCTCATTTTCGAGTGCTCTTGCGACTCAGACGCCTGTGAAAACCAGCCTTGACACTGAGCAGCCAGCTACAATGTCAGGAACAGTGTATTGATCATACCCCATATTACCCTTCGGGATTGTCGCGAGCACAGTTTTTCCGACAACCTGTCTCGAAATAGCTGTATATAAACATGCGAAAGCTCACAACAATGTTTGTCACCACTGTTTGTGTTTTATATTTCTGATATGGTCATGTTGACAGATGGACCCTGGCCCGTTCCCAGTCTTCACCTATATTTTTAATCCACGGGAGGCCTTTAAGCGTTAAAAGAGACGCGCGACAGAGATGCGCGCGCAGGTCCTCGCGCTGCACTGCCTTGCTATTCTGCCATACCTGTGTCTACCCCAACGTACAAATCATGGATAATAGAAAGACTGGATAGGAAACTGGCTGACGTGGTCGGTTCCAACACGGTGGAAAAATGTGACGTCGCATTATCGAGAGCCATTAAACCCTACACCCACCCTACAGACTATACTAACAAAAAGCGGGAGCTCCTGCAAAAAGAGAATATCACGGAGAGATTTTTCTTACTTCTCTACGAGATAGGTGGCGAGCAGGTACGCAGGAATTTCCACCAATCCGGATGCAGCAAAGTTCAAGTAAAAATTTCCCGCCAAATTGCCCGAGTTGAAACCGAGCCCGTAATACACCATGCTGGTCACGCACCTGTAAAGAAAAGAGAGATAAAATGAGAGAATATTTCTCGCTCAGCAGCAACTGCCATGGTTCATGTAGTCTGTTTTAGTAGCTATGCGCAATTTGGCGTTTGCGAGCCTCAAAGGACCAACTATTATATTTTGCTTGTACAAGAGCACTTGTTGAGAAAACTTGACAAGAAAAATCCCCAGACGTTTGTACGCTGTGGACCTGCCGGCTAGCCGGTTTCTGGTTAAGATTCTAGTTAAGAGATGCGGTGCGTCTAGACTGATATCGTATAGAAACCCAGCTCTTTACTTTCTTATTACTAGTGTAGACAGGGTCCCTTTTCAACTTACCAAGACCACGCCTCGATAAGAGTGATTCTTATCAAGTATCGATTACTAAACAGGTGCCACAGGTGATAAGTCTTTTTTCTTTCCTCGGGTTTTCCTTCTGTCTGCATCCCTTGTACAGCTCCTTCTGGGTACTCCGTACCATTTGTTTTTGCCATTTTACGCAAGATTGCTTCAGCTTCTTCCACTCTTCCTCTAGCTGAAAGCCAGCGAGGCGACTCAGGAATAAACCTATCGTAAATGAAGCGAAAATAATGTCGTTAAAAGGGCTCATTCGTACTCTCTTGCCTTAAATAACTAACTTAAGGGTTATGGCCGAAAAACGTACGTTGTCTAGTTTTGTAGATTCGAGCTCTATAATTGCGTTTCCTCTGACTTTGCAATATACTCCAGTGCATTAAATTTTAGAAACGATGATATTATGAACTAAAAAAATAGTCATTTGTGCAGACGGTTAATTTTTAGTTCGTGTTCGTGTACATTTAATGATAGGTCTCCGATTCACATTGACTCTCGTTCTCTCTCTAAGATGACACCCATAAAACGAAGTTGCCGTTTAGACATTCGAAAACTGACGCCGTTTTAGAACGGGGTTTGAGATCCAGGTTTGTTTGGCTCAGGGGGTGGGGTGGGGGAATGGAGAATTTAAACATGAACGAGGGAGTATGAGGGTCTTCCCTTACCAGTAGTAGGCAATGAACGGCAGGTTAAGAAGAGTGATCACTAAGCTGAAGGGTTTCCAGTCTCTGATGAAGAACGCAATCAAGGCTTGCACAGCAATCCCAACACCGTAGGCAACCTGCGATAAACAGTTAGCCCAGCGCCGCCATTTAGGAGTCGCCATCTCGGTCATGAGCAGGAAACCGGCGATAAGGCATCCTGTAAAAGGAAATTCAACACAGAGGTACAAGGCCTTAATGCTTCATTCTGGTGATAATTATGAATAATTACGGAGTTTTCAGCAATGATTTGTTGCTGGGGGGTTTCGTTTGATAGAAATACAGCGTGACCCAGCGCACTAGCTATCCTTAAATGAAGGAAAAATCTAAGTGCTGGCAAGAGAACATAAAAGCCTGGTGCTGAATGAGTTGTTTGCAGGGGCAACATTTTCTTTAATAAGCGTTGGACGTTGTCTTGATTAGTTTTATGATGCTTATTTCCTTTAACTGGCCTACAACTTGTACATTGCATCAAAGGAAAACTGGCTCCTCCTTAATTCCTGACATTCCTGCCACCCGCCTCGAAAATAACAAACAGAAGGGGAATGGGAAAGAGTCTCGCCCTGTATGGGATGTGCACATGTATACATCCTGCACAACCTCTTGGGCCGGAGTCACGCAATCCAGGAGGCGAAGAGCGTTGCGTGACTCCGGCTCGAGCCCGGTAGGAGAGGTTGCGAAGGAGACTAATGTATTCACTAATACATGTAAGTATTTGATCTTACCTCCACTACATATACCAAGAGGAACCCTAAGCACAACATACATGGTGAAGTTCACGGAGAAGCTTTCTATCAAGGATGCAATGAACTGCACAAGCATAGTAATAAGTAAGGTCATTCGGCGCCCATATCTGTCGGATACCCAGCCGAAAAAGTACGCACCGAACAGTTTTCCCGCATAGAATATGGTCTTCGTGAGTGGCACATATTTCTTTGCGTCGTCGCATAAGATATCCCACTGAAAGGAAAATAAAAAACATAACTGATTAAGATTTACCTGCAATTCTACTCATGGTTCTACGTACATTTTCCGGGTTACAATGGTGTAGAAATACTATAACAAGAGAGGAATTTTAGTAGTCCTTGCTTACTTACATTCTTACATTTTCTATATTTTCATGACTGTTACGCAAGCGTTTAGGGGTTAAGTGTTTATTGAGGACTCTCATATCTACAATCTTGGACAAAATAGTTACAAATTTCCTTGCCTGCGAAAACAACCGTTTCCCCTCGCTCCTCGCCGAGGCGCGGCGTAGAGCGAGGAGAAACGGCTGTTTTCGCAGGCTAAAAATTTCCCTTCAAGTATAAAAATACCCTGGTAACATACATAACGTACGATCGACTTTATTGCGAGTAATTTTTTTTCCATTTATTTAAAAGTGACATAGAAACCAGATTTGCATTTATCAAATATCACCTTTCATATTTGTCACGTCCATTCACCAATAGCCTGCGTAACTGGCGGTATTGTCTTGGTGCGCGATTAAAGTTGTGGTGACGGAGCCGTGATCAAAAAAAGGGAGTGGGAACGACGCTTTGAAATACCTATTTCTCGCGGCTTACGCCGCTCGTGAAGGCTTTGCCGCCAAATCTCACTCGACTACTACACAATACCTCCAGCTACGCAGACTAGTTCACCAATATCACGACAACAGATAATCTGAACAAATCAAATAAGGGCACAACTTCTTAAGCAAATATTTGCACGTAATAATTCGCTTGTTTGTTTAAAACATGCAGACAATAGATATGATGTGACGTGAGTTTTACTCTGAGTCAGAAACTTTATGCATTTACAGAGCATTAGGGCGATGTTTTTAAAGTTTGTCTAAGTTACGATCCGTAAAAAGCGCGGGTAAGACAGAGGAACGCACGGAATTCACCCTAGTGGGGATTTTCATAATTTCTACCCAATTCTGTGAAGAGAACGCTACAAATTAAAGCTATTGATGCAGTTGAGCTTCTCTGAATAAGAAAACATTGGAGGAAAGAATACATACCGTACTCCTTCTGGGAGAATAATAACTAATTACGTGATCAGATGGATAATCTACTCAACTTACATTACTGGGTGAAATCACGCGATACATAGCGGTAGCGGGTCTTATCATTTCCTCATTGTAACATTTTTTTAGCTGCCATGCAAAATCGGTTACCCCTCTCGTCTTTTTCTCTTAGTATCCAAATTTTTCAAAGTCATGTTGAAGTAAACAGTCACTTACGTCAGTAACAATGGATTTGTAAGGCGTCTTGTATCCAGCATCTGTGCAAGTTTTGTTTTGCCACGCAGCGCAAAATGATTTCCCTCCTATCTCCGGCTTTTCAATGCAGTAAATCTGGTCTTCTTTTGGTTTTGCAGCAGCGAAAGCTGGGGCGTAAGTGTACCATGCTTGGGGAACGGCGGCGAGGAAGAGGAGGACCCATTGTATTTGTTGAAATCGTGACCATCCTCCAAGTTTTAAAAGCAAGTTATCAAATTCTGTCTTTTTATAAAGCCTGCTAAAGGCATCTGTTTCTTCCCCGGACGTTGCCATTCTTAACTTTACAACTTATTTCACCTTAGAAAAAACCTTATTTGAGAAAGATGACAAAGTTCAATTCAGTGATTACAATATTTGTTTTCTTCGTCTGGCTTCAAGTCAAAAATGCTTCTAGACAACGCTTTATCTAAAGTAGTTACTTAGGCTATTGAAAGCCGTAACATAACTGACAACCAAACGCATGGAGACAGTCATGAGAACCAATCAAAACTCGAACCCTTGATATCTTTAGCCGGCGTTTAAACGCGTTCAATCAATTCAAGTCACGAATCACTCATGATATTGACCTGATAATGGCCCCAAGCCTTGGACTCAGGGAAAGTGGCGCGAGATTTTTTGACCAATCACATATCAAAGACATGCCAAGGCAATAATTCAGAAAATTTATCACACTACATTGCTTATTTGCCCTTCGACACTAGACACATTGAAGCCATGTTACACTATTTTTGTACAGCATACATTTTAGACTCTCACAGATACCTCTTGCTTTGTCACGTACGAAGAAGACCTATCGCGTCGCTCCCTTGGATCGCTCACAACGCTCACTTCGCGCGCCCACCCCGAGTTTTACACCGCGTATACCTGACAAAAGACGGTCGATCAGGTGTAAGGATACTTATTAGAATGGTTTTCTTAGCTTTTCTAGCTCCTAATGAAGGTTAGTTTTGTCTAACTGAAATATTGGGCAAATAAAACCCATCCATAGCTGTCCGATCAGCCCTGCATTCGTCTTATAGTGGTTTTCATTGTGATCTGACGCATCAGAATAGATACAGACTATCAAAAGAGCCAATCGGGTCTCAAAGAAAACACATATGACGCGCTGCATGCGTAAACGCAAGTCACGATCTCTTTGTTTTTGATTCGACTGCGGCGTGACAGTGACACAGAGGATTTCAATGTTTCGCCAACCGGATTCCGGAAGCCGAGGAAATGCGAATTCGAAATCCGGGTAAATTTTGCTCGTGGAATCCGGAATTCTGGCCTTTGGAAACCGGAATATATTTATTTTATTTTAATTATTATTTTGCCATTTAAGTTAGATATATGCATAAAATTAAAAGAAAAGATGAGGCAAGGGAGCCCAAGGAAGGCAAGAAGGCTTATGAAGAGGACCACCTTTTAAAATATATCACCTTATAAATAAATAAAATACTGGCATAGGCAAGACAATTTAACTAGGCACATACAATTTCTTTACAACTTCAAAAATAGTCATTGAATAGGATAAAAATAAATACGGCTGAACGCGTCAGTGCAAAAACAAAAAAGAAAAAGTAAGAAAAATAATGTAAAAATATACGAGCAAAAAAAGGGAAAGAAACGAAAAACTACACACAAGTATTAAGAGAAGTAAGACCCTGGTTGTAAGACCCCTGGTTGTAAGAACCCCTGGTTGTAAGACCCCTAGTTGTAAGACCCCTGGTTGTAAGAATCCCTGGTTGTAAGACGCCTGGTTGTAAAAACCCCTGGTTGTAAGACCCCTAGTTGCAAGAACCCCTGGTTGTAAGACCCCTAGTTGTAACACCCCTGGTTGCAGGAACCCCTGGTTGTAAGACCCCTAGTTGTAAGACCCCTGGTTGTAAAAACCCCTGGTTGTAAGACCCCTGGTTGTAAAAACCCCTGGTTGTAAGACCCCTAGTTGCAAGAACCCCTGGTTGTAAGACCCCTAGTTGTAACACCCCTGGTTGTAGGAACCCCTGGTTGTAAGACCCCTAGTTGTAAGAACCCCTGGTTGTAAAAAACCCCTGGTTGTAAGACCCCTACTTGCAAAACCACTAGTTGTAAGACCCGTGGTTATAAGAACCCCTGGTTGTAACAACCCTTGGTTGTAAGAACCCCTGGTTGTAAGGCCCCTAGTTGTAAGACCCCTGGTTGTAAGAACCCCTGTTTGTAAGACCCCTGGTTGTAAGCACCCCTGGTTGTAAGACCCCTAGTTGCAAAACCACTAGTTGTAAGACCCCTGGTTATAAGAACCCCTGGTTGTAACAACCCTTGGCTGTAAGAACCCCTGGTTGTAAGACCCCTTGTTGTAAGAACCCCTGGTTGTAAGACCCCTGGTTGTGAGAACCTCTGGTTGTAAGACCCGTAGTTGTAAGACCCCTGGTTGTAAGAACCCCTGGTTGTAAGACCCCTGGTTGTAAGAACCCCTGGTTGTAATACCCCTGGTTGTAAAAACCCCTGGTTGTAAGACCCCTAGTTGTAAGAACCCCTGGTTGTAAGACCCCTAGTTGTAAGACCCCTGGTTGTAAGAACCCCTGGTTGTAAGAACCCCTGGTTGTAAGACCCCTGGTTGTAAGAACCCCTTGTTGTAAGACCCCTGGTTGTAAGAACCCCTGGCTGTAAGACCCCTAGTTGTAAGAACCCCTGGTTGCAAGAACCCCTAGTTGTAAGACCTCTGTTTGTAAGAACCCCCAGTTGTAAGACCCCTAGTTGCAAGAACCCGTGGTTGTAAGAACGCGTGGTTGAAAGAACCCCTAGTTGTAAGATCCTTGGTTGTAATAACCCCTTGTACGGTATGGTATGGTATGGTATGGTAACTTTATTTATACAAGGTATTTCCTTTAGGTGGATTTACATTCAAGTATAAAAAAATTAATTACCCAACTAAATGAGAATCTAACATAAAAACTAAAATGATAAAGATGAAAAGAAAAAAACTTGCTTTGCATGGAGGCCGTGTGTAAAAATAACACATCGCTAATGAAATTATTTCACAATCGATATTAAGGTCCCTTAATTTTCCCGTAAATACATTTGGGGATGTCAATTTTGGAACTCTGTTATTGACAATGCATTATTGTTGCTTTACTAACTACGCGCTGATGGACAAGTTTCAACCACTTTAAATTTTGAAACAATTCACTAGTACTGCAGTCATAATTAGAGAAAGTTGGAACGCGAGCGGCGAACAGTTTCCCCATACTACCTTACAGTAATCAAAATGTGGCTGTACCAGTGAATTGTATACGTTAAGGAGAATCCAAAAGGGAGGAAATACCTAATAGCTTAATCGCACTTATGATGCCAGAAGCAATCTTCTTAGAGATTTAATTAATATGACACTCCCAAGAAAGATTGTCTTAGTCGTGTTTAGTGTAAATTTGTTCGATGCAAGCCATATACGAATTCTATCTAAATCTATGTTAACAGAACGCTCTATTTCTTCAACGTCATTGCTCGCATAGGTGATACTAGTGTCGTCAGCATACATTCAGGGATGTTAATGCATGAGACAATTCGGAATGTCATTTATATATAGTAAAAACCAAAGTAAATAAGTAAAGAACTGTCATTTAATAAAGTGCAATAAACAGCAACTAAAGAAAAGTATCGTGTTTCGAGAGAAAAGATAGTACACCGTATATGAAATATATTGATAAACAATCTGAATTTCTCTTATTTCCTACAATTTACTTTGGGAAAACCAGAGTTGATCATTTTCTAAACAACGTTCCCACGGGTTCTTTCTATAGACTGATAGTTATTATTAGTTTCCAACATGTAAATAGGCCGAAGTGTACGTTCCCATAGCGTCTTGTCCTCTTTCGTATATCCTCGGGGCCAGTTCGGGACGAATCGGTTTACGTCGGAAAATCGTCAGTCAGTTCTTACCCATGGTGCTCCGCTGCGAGCGCTTCGCGCGCGCGAGGGCTCCGCTATCATTCAAAGTTAGTTTAAATATCATAGGTGATTCTGGTGGATTTTGTAAATCGCAGGAAAGTTGCAAAAAAACTATCACTTGAAAATATTGTCAATGTCCTTTTTTTCTTGTTGTGCAAACAGCGGCATAAAGACTCGTTTTCACTATGGACGGAGTCGGAGTCGGAGTCGTAATCAGAAGCGTAGAGCTTATGATCTAGTGAAAACAGCATTCCGATTCCGCTTATGATCTAGTGAAAACCGGAGTTGGAGGCAGAAGAGGAAGAACTAAACCAATCACAAAGCGTGGGAACCTGCATTATGATTGGCTTATCCTTCCGCTTCTGCTTCCGACTCCGAGAATCTGGTTTTCACTAAATCATAAGCGGAACTTAAGCGACGGAGTCCTAAGCGGAGTCGGAAGAAATGGAAACGTTCTGATTCTTCTGACTCCGATTCCGTCGCACTTATGACTCCGATTTTTGATTTTCACTCGGTCATAAGCGCTTTTTACGACTCCGCCTACGACTCCGACTCCGACTCCGACTCCGTCGCTTGTGAAAACCAGCCTTAAGATAGAGGGTACATATACAGTCTAACCTCTCCTTACGGACATCTCTATAATACGGACACCTCTCTATAACGGACAGTTCGTTTGGTCCCAGAAATGCCAAAAATCATACATTCCCTACCTCTATAATACGGACACCTCTGTAAAGCGGACACTTGGTTCTGTCCCTTTGGTGTCCGTATTAAAGTGGTTTGACTGTACAATGTGTGAGTGCAGGGAGTCTTCAGTTATTCAATAAGCTTAAATTTTCGAATATTTCCTAGTTCTTTCCCCAAATGACCTTTTGAAGGAAAGAAGTATTTTTCAGCCAGTTCTTAACTATCAACAAACACTCCTCTCTTAGCAAGCACCAAAGCCCTGAAAAGTTACATTGGGCAATCTGTTCTACAGCTTCTCTTGTATGTAAAGGAAGAGTAGTGTGATGGGTTGGCACGCTTCTCCCACATAATCTACTGAGGTTCTTCTGTTGTGCTGGTGTTAGAACAAATTCAAACCATGCGTCCAAACATTATTATCGGTCTGATTACGGTATTGTAGAACAATTCTTTTTCATTGGAAGGTAGTTATCCATCTTATTCAAAAGGCCAATTTTTGGGCTCGGTTCTTACAAAGCTGAAAACATACCTTTTGCCTAGTCCCCAGGGTGTGGCATTTGCACACAGTTTTAAGCCCCACAGTGGGTTTCTTGTATGAATCTGCTGGCCTCACCGTGGGGCATTTATGCATTTGCCGCTTTCCGAGGAAAGAATAACAAATGCACGACAAATGCCCTCTCCCCCGGGGGGAGGGCACGCTTGGAATCGATAGAGCTATTAAAACACACAATTCCCTGCTAGTACTGAGAGGTCCCTCGCGACTCGTCGTGAGAGACCTCTGCTAGCAGAGAAAACGCACAACATAGTAAACACAGAAAAACCAACCGCAAACCAGGCAAAAAGTACACTACTCAGAAAAAAAAAGAAAAAATTTGGTTGCTTACATTAGATGGAATACTTACTTGTCTTACATTCGACATTTTCCTGTTGAAATAAATTTATTACTATGGCTATGTATTACTGTCACGCATACTTTGATCTGATCCTTTTAATATTTCGTTTTATGTTTTTCAATTTTTCTTTCTATTCCGCTTCCGGTTTCGCTTCCCGTTCGGTATAAATATAACATATTGTATTATGACATAAGCTCATATGACTTTTCCAACCAATCAGCAAACATTGTGGCTCGTTAGTATGCGAAGTTCATTCACATTTCAGCTGTAGTAATTCGTTACGGAGTCTGTTGTTGTGGTTCTTATCAACCGCACTTGTAACCATCACCTCTTTTTCTTCCAAAAAGTTCAAAGAAATTGCAATCAAGCGTCAGGAAAAGATGAGCGAGAGACAGATAAACCTGCTATCTGCCTTCACGTCCTGGGATCGCTGCAGTAACATGTGTGTTCAACTCATGGAAGCGTTAAAAGACGCAGGCCTAGACGTCACGGTTCTTGCTCTAGAAGGTCTTTCCCGCATTGAAAACGACGTAAAATCAGATCAGTTCCCAGGAAGTGTGGGTAATAAAGTTCGAGACGTTCTGCGACAATGGCGTTGCGAGTCGCCGTTAACAGGTGCATATTCAGGAGCATACAAACGGGTACCTAAATTTCTAAGAAGTCTCACCATCTTCACAACGTTTAAAGTACCCCTATTCATCGACGACTTCGGAAAAAAGGAGCTACTGAACAATTATACAGATAGCGAAGACATCCATATCAATGAAGAGACAGCGATTTTTCACGTCACTCACTCGCAGGAAGCCGGAAAGATAGTTAAAGAACAACAGTTGAAACCAAGTGACAACAAGAACATCATCGAAGGAACTTGGTTTGGACTTGACGAGTCGCCTAGCGTCTATGGTAGCGAAAGCTTTCAAACAACGTTCCGTGACTTAGGCGTTAAGGGGCTTCGTCAAGGCGAGATTGTCTCTTACAAGAATGAGGTCAATGTGATCCTGTACGCTGAAGAGGGTACTACGGAGTTTAAAGGTTTGAAGAAACCAACCGATGAAGCTGTGAAGAAAAGAAATTCAAACGCATATATACATGTATCCATATTTGTGCCAGCCAAATTCTTACCCTCCCCTGACGAATTTAAGGAAGTTATTAGCGGTCCTAAAAAAGTTCTTCACGGCCCGTTTTGTGTCAGGAAGAAGCGATCAAACCACCCGTGCACAGAACAGAACCAAATCATAAGATGATACTCCACGTCCATGAATATGAAACTGCTTCTGTATCGTATACATATACATAGATACATACATATACTTTATTTGACCTCGAATTTAAAGTAGCTAAAGATAAGCTAGTATCTTCGAGTTACAAGTATGATTTAAAAAAACTAATAAAACAAGAAATTATAACATTCTAATATTTAAGCTTTTAAAAAGTGTCATAGTGACCATACTGTAGAATGTTGCGCTTGAAATCAGGAAAGTCAGAAGTTTTAAACGAATCTGGAAGAGAGTTCCCTAGTTTTGAAGCCATATACGAAAAGGAGTGTAGACCATAAGTACAGTCGACTCCCAATAACTCGAACCTTCAACGGAAATCGAAAAAAGGTTCGAGTTAACGGGAGTTCGAATTATCGGGAGCTCGAAGAAAATAGCCGAGAGTAAGGTAAAACACCGTTTTTACTGCACAGTGAACATTTTAATCTCATTTAATTGTAGAAATGTCAAGTGAAACTTAAAACATGCTTCAAGATTATAAATCAGAACGTAACGTAACAAAACATAGCCTAAATAGAGCATGCGTTTTACTGTTTTGAGAAGAAAAGCTGCTTCAAGTTAGCCTGTGACAATCAACATCAGCCTCCACTAGTAAACTATACACCTACAATACGTCAATAGGAAATCCGAAATTCAATGTTTCGGACGCCCGTATACGGCTTTTTTCCCGACTTTTTAAGGGCTCAAAACATGGTTCGAGTTATCGAGGGTAAAATTATATAGAAAATGACCTGCGGGGAAACGAAAATTGGTTCGAGTTAGCGGGAGTTCGAGTTATCGAGGGTTCGAGTTACCGGGGGTAAAATTACAGTGAAAGTATGACGGAAATCCAGGGGAAATCGATTTTGGTTCGAGTGAGCGCGAGGTTCGAGTTAGCGAGGGTTCGAGTTATCGGGAGTCGACTGTAGTATTTCTTGCAGACGTGTATATCGTCGTATATCTGGTAGATGTTAGCAACATCAATCATTGTCGAGATAAAGAAAACATAGCCTGCAGTGCAGGCGTATTTTTGGGTGGGCGAAACCTTGTTCGTGTTCGAAATATTGTTGTAGCCGCCATCTTTGATTTTATGACAGTGGAAAATTGGGGAGCGTAGAAATAGTAACCCTTACGGTAGGTGCGAGGGCGAAAGAAGGAAAGGAGGGAGGGGAAGGGGAGAAAAAAAATACGGCGTTTTCTCTTCTCTCTCCCCGCCCCCTCCCCGCTCCCTTTGACTCGCCCCATCTCCTCCTCTCTTCGGGAAGTTTCAACATGACGCTTTCGCGAGCAAATTGCGCGCTCAAAGAGAACGCCTGCACTGCAGGCTAAAGAAAACAGGAAAAAGTTTTTCGCAAATTTTAAGCGTCCCCATGAAGGTGTTCCTTTTGACGAGTCGACACAACCTGTGGCATTGAAATACTAACATTCATGAAGCATTATTGGTCTTGTACACCTTGTTACTTGATTGTTTATTGTCTATTACCCAGTCTATTACCCAGGGTCATTTTTGATTTGGCAATTTTCTCGTTTCCCGAGCCATTTTACCCTTGTTACGGACCAGAAATAGACCTTATTCGCAATGCCCGCCGTCTTTGCACGCCCCTAGGAACTGATGGGATAATAGCGATCTCACGTGGTTTCTCAGGGGACAAACAAGTGATAAAATTTGCCAAGGCAAGAGATCGCGGTCGTGTTTGTTTATTCTAAACAACAGAAATTGAAGGATTTTTTATCTTAAAGGCGATAATGGCAAATTGTAGGTGGAAGTGATCACTGGTACATTTTTGGATGCGGTAGCGACCGGACATGTCCTCGCAGCAAGCAATAATGACGTAAAACTTGTCGAAAACGTACATTTTGCGTTTCTATTAAACCTCGATCGCGATTTCTTGCATTGGCAATTACAAATGTTATCACTTGTTTGCCCTCTGAAACACCACGTGACATTCCTTATATCTCATCAATCCTAAAGCGCGTGCAAAGGTGGCGGGTATAGTGAGTAAGACCCTGTTTACATGGAGTGGGGGACCCCGGTCTAGTGGGGTAGGTTTCTTTTGTTTTGTGTCCCCCATGGCGTGAAAACAAAAGAAACCAACCCCGCTAGACCGGGGTCCCCCACTCCATGTAAACAGGCCCTAAGGCCTAAGGTCTATTAAAGACAAATATGCTGAAATATTTCTCTTTGAACAGCTATGGTGGTGAAGTCATATGTAGCTACAAAAAATCCCGTACGCGTTAACTTTTAATTCCATCGTTAAATGTAAATCTCTTATCATCAAAACAGCTAAGTGAAATTTACAAATTTTATAATTAAACGTTTCAATTGTTAGTTTTTTACTTCGAATGGCTTTTCATACATAGTGATATATTTGCTTAATTTGTTTTTAAATAATACGCCTTTGTTAGGTTTATGTTTGATTGTCATTTTCCACGACTGCCATTATTTGCCCTAAGTATGAATACATCAGGTAGATATATGGATAGGTAGATAGATAGTGTTATTAAAATAATCAAATTGCAGCCAGCAGGTTAAATTGCTTAATTATTTACAATATTATAAAGGGTATATAATTTTGGTAAAAGACTAATTACAATTTTGTTAATTAGGAATAATGACACTAAAAAAAAAAGAAAAGAAAAGAAATATAACATATCTGACTCGATGAATATGTTAACTGGTTTACACATTAGGGCCATTTATACGAGGAAAAATAAGACGCGGCTTACATAAGACGCGAACTGTACCATTTATACGAGCATGTCTTATCTAATAAGACGCGTCTTAGCAAAGCCGCGTCTTATTTTAGACGAAATGTGCCGTTTATACGGAAAGTTCGCGTCTTATTTACGCGTCTTATTTTTCCTCGTATAAATGGCCCTATTAACTGACAATACAAAAATATATTTGCACGACCGCACATGGCCGGGGCTGGTATGAACGACTTTTTGAAGCGGTTTGTGGCCTTGGTGTTTCGGAGGAAGAGGGCAAGCGAGTTTGTGCTGACCCGAGGATATACTATTAAACAGCTTAACACACTGATCGCTACGTCTATCTTATAAAGTGCTGAGACCAAAACTGACTAAACAGTGTTTGTATGCCAGTTTGTGAGGCGTTATTATAGACAGCGGTCTTTTTGTAGGAACTCAAGGTCCTCACTTAGATAGTCGAGTAGACTATGGTGGAATATGGGTGAGCAAATTCTAGTACCGTCTTATTACTGTACAGCAGAAGTTGACAATATCTTTACAGCTCATGCCAGCTGTCTTTAGCAGAACCGAAAAATAGAAACGCTTATTTGCTTTCTTAATTGTTTCATTTATACCACCGTTCCACTTGAGATCGTTAGACATTGTTACAGTCAACCCTGTCTCACCAGACATCTCTCTAAGACGGACACCTGATGTTAGTCCCTGCCGTTTTTCAGTCATTTTACTGTAACTAATTGCCCCCGCAGGGATTTCGCCCAGAGGCGAAATCCCGAGGAGGCATCCTAGTAACTCGCGCAGTATATTAAGGACAGTACTTACAGTTCAAATATACAGTCAGTATACTAGAAAAAATCTCGATTTGCTCGAACTGGGGCCGCGAGGAATCGGTAGGTAATGATGACGTTTCTATTGTTTGCGCCCGCAAGTACGAAATGGTTAGGATGACGTAAAGACAGAAAATCCTGAAGGGACCACTCAGGTAGATTTTGTGACATCTATTGTGCAGTCACACTTCGATACTCTTTTGCGTTACGCAGTGACATTCTGTGGAGCAGTTGTTTTGAAAGTTATGGACCAAAAGACACTCGTTAAGCGCAGGGGAGGTTATAAGGTGCGTTTAACTGTGTAGATATATAAACACTTGGAGAGTTTGCCAGACACGAGTTCACAAATCTTTGATTTATATTGGAAACCTTGCCAGACACTCTTTCTCTCTATTTGACCGGAATAAGACTCAGCCCCAAACAAGCAAGACGCGTGAACAACGGCTAGCTTATCACTAGCAGATTGATGGACATTTACAGAAATTCGCCGACAATCAAATTCTGTGCTGACTTATTCCCTGTTCACAGATGTCCTTCCGTTATAAAGTTTCAAATAAGACTAGAATGCGCTAGCGTGAATCGATCAAACGCCCTTTTAATTTCTAAGGGTTACTTTCCGCCAAATAAAATAAACTGAATGTAAAAAGGGAAAGAGAAATAGCGAAAAATTCAACTTCTAATTAAATCTTTTCTTATGGTTTAGAATAAACTATTCTCGAAACTGAGAATGTTTTGATCAAAGCTGTGTAAATCTAGCTGAAACTGTGCATAGAACCTTGCGTTTCCTGTATTTATCTCACCTATTGTAAGGAATATGTTAGCCTGCGTAGCATGGCGGTTTTGGTTGGGCGCGCTAAGTAATAAAGGCGGGCGAGGGCAGAGAAACCGCGAGGAGATTGGGGCGGAAGCAACTTATTTTTCTCGCGGCTTCGCCGCTCGTTCTCGTGCGCTTCGCGCGCGAATTTCGCGGCTACGCCGCTCCTGCGCCCGGCTCGACAAAACCGCCATGCTACGCAGGCTAGGAATATGTGTGAAAATCTTCATTATGAATCGGTATATTTCAAAGAGCTACACAACCAGCAAGAATACTATTAACCGACAATATACAAAACGGGAGCAGCTGTAGTGTCAACTATTACTGGTTATACTCTCTATAAGACGGACACCTTTCTAAGACTGATAACGGACACTACTTTTGAAACCGTTAATGGACACTTGAAAAGTGCTTTATGCAATGAAAATACCTCAAAACGGAAATGTAGGTGCTCTACATGAGTAAAGATTTCCAGCTAGCAATTGGCTTTGTATAATAGGCTATTAGAGCCAATTTCTTGCCATAATATCTTGGTGTTTTTATTCAGGACAAACTAACGAAGAATCAGCTGCCACAGTTGTACATTCTTATTAAAAGACTACGAACACAATTTGGTTTTTCTGGCACAGTTCTTTAATGGTTAGAGTCATACATCCGAGATCACTTTCAGAAGGTAGTGATTGGATACACAGAGTGCAGAATAATCTTTCAGGACTCATTCTTATAGGGCATTTCTTTTAAGCATTTATTAGCATTTTTATCGCATTTTTAGCCCATTGTAGCATTTCGTATTTTTTTAAGGACATGATGGATTTTTATTTCTGTAAACGCATTAAGGCAATGCATAATGCGTTCCAAAAACTGTAATTATTATTTAAAAAGGTTCTATAGCTTCTAAATTGGATTACTGAAACTCTCGTTTTTATGGATCACTGACCCAACACTAGCGTGCGAATACAGCCGTTTCTCCTTGCTCCACGGCTGTATTCGCGGACTAACCTAGCACCTTATTCCAGTTCTTTCTAACTTGAGGCGGAGCGCAAATTATAAAAGGATTTATTGCCTGCGTCGTAGGCGCTCTAAACCCGTTGTATAGAAATACAAATAGTTCAGACGAGTACGTGGGCCGGCTGCAACGCAGGCTAAGGATTTGCGACGCTGAATAATGTCGCAAGCTTGCAGTTTATTTTGCTTCCAAAGTGAGGCCGGAAGTTGCTCGAGATATAGACTTTCAAAAAAAGTCCTTCGACGGATTTAATATGGCGCGGGACGAAGGACGGCCTCTCGCGACTTCGGGTTGGTCCCTTCACGGCCTAAAAAGGCTCGCTCCGCTCCCCAAGAGGCAGTTACCATGGTTTCGTAACCGTTGTGATAAGCGTCATTATCCTTTTTGTTTGAAAGAATAGATGTTTTTATACTTGTTTTTGTATTGTGTGTTATTGCTTTTCATAAAGTTTATGTTGCGATGTTGTGGAGATTGCGCATGTTCATCAAGTTTTGTAAGGGAGTGTACTGATGTCAGTCACGTTGCTGGAGAAGGTGTGGATTTTACTGTACATAAGGAAAGTGTTGTTGTAGAGGAAATAAAGGAAGTGTAACTGAGATCTCGTCGTGCGCAATTCATTTGACAGAAATTGTAATCGAAACGTGGAATTTGACGAAAAGTAATAGCATGCAGGTTCTTCATAACAGAATTTGAAACAGGATACTGGCGGAGATGACCTCTCGTGCTAGCAGACTTCTAGCCTGCGTAGCAAGCGTTTTCCGCGCGAGTTCGTCGAGAAAGTTGGGACGAGAGCAAAAAAATTGCTCTCGCTCTAACTTTCGCGCAATAACTTGATTGGAAACGCTTGCTACGCAGGCTAGCAGACTTCCGGTGAAGAAGTTAAGGCGTCTGTTACTCATAAGGAGAAAGGTAGGGTATTTTTACGGAAGGGTATCCGGAAAAATATAATTTCTTACTATTCCCCGCATTCACAATTAATTCCACAACCACGACGCCGAAGTGCACGCTGTCTTGTCGTTGGTATATCTTCGGGACCAGTTCGGAACCAATCGGTACAAGTCGGAGAATCGTCGGTAATTGGTCGTTTGAAACACGCTATCTATTTGACATCTCCGTCATGATGGCCACCATGGCAGACGGATTAAAAGAAAGAGAAAACCTTTACAAGTTGATGATAAGGTAGAGTAAAGTGACTAAATGTGTTGTTCGCAGTTTTCGTAGCTTAGAAAACGTTGCCAAAAGATCTTATAGGAGCAATGAACAGTGGTAGGTGAAAAAAGCAAGATGGCGGCTTTTTGTTTGGACCCCACAGAAGAAACAGCAAGATCGATATCACAGACATTTATTTATCTTTGCTGTTTTTTCCCTTATCTATATACCTCAAAAATTTGTCATGATTTTTAACTTTTAACATTGGACCTGGTGGTATTTCCATCACATGGTCGATAGTTTCTGTGCAGTATTAACCCGTTTATGATGAATTGATAGCTTACGTCTTGGTTAATTGACTACTGATCTTCGATTCCCCCCCTTCTTCACGTATTTTTCAAAGTTACTTTAAACACCATCAAGGTGATTTCGATGGATTTTGTAAATCTGAGAAAAGTTACTTAAAGATATTGTCAAAATGCAATGTCTTTTTTTTCTTGTTGTGCAAGCAGCTGCATAAGGTTGACTGTGCAATGTGTGGGCGCTGAGAGTCCTTACTTCTTCAATAAGCTAAAATTTTCGATTATTTGCTAGTTTTTTCTCTAAATGACTTTGTAAGGGAAACAGCTGTCCGAACAGCCTTGCCTTCATCTTATAGCGGTTTTCTATACTCTAACGAATCCGAATAGACACAGACAATCAAAATTAAAAGAGCCAATCGGGTCTCAAAGCAAACACATGTGACGTGCTGTATGTGTGCAAGTGTGCGCCAAGGTCACGATCGAATTCGACTGCGCTGTGACACAGAGGATTTCAATGTTGTTCCGCCCCAAGTAAGGGAATGCGGATTCCGGAATTCCGGAAATTTTTGCTTGTGGAATCCGAAATTCTGGGCTTTGGAATCCTCACGCTACAGCGAAAATCTGAATTTATCGAGACCCTGAGGAACCCACGGTAAACGTCCATCATACATCAAATGACAACACCCTATACACTTAATGTCAGATCCCGAGGGAAACAGTTAGTTTTGTTTTCCCGAGAGTCCTGATGTTTCCTGAGACGAAGTCGAGGGAAACATCAGGACTCAAGGGCAAACAAAACTAACTGGTTTCCCGAGGGACCTGACATTAAGTGTTTTGTTATATTCTATTCTTTCACTTCAACAGCAACAAGAGAATAACCGGAGCGAACCCAAACAGTCGACTCGGTACTTATAGCCACACATATTTAATTCTCAAAACCTCTGAATGAATGATTTACAAAGTACCTTCCTTACATTATCTGCATCATTTTCCTCCACTAGCTGCTGTTTTTCTTCTGGGAACTTCTTGGATAACTTTAAAAATCGTTGCTTTTTAGCTTGAGGCTTCGTGTTTGTGTTGTTGTGTTCATTCACGAAAAAGAAAACTGGTAGGACCTGGCAGTGTTTTCCCCCCGGGGGGGGGGGGGCACTTGGGTATTTTTTGGGTGGGTATGTGCCGCCCGGGACTCCAAATTGGCACCCCGTTCTGGAAAAAATTTCCCCTAAAATTGATACCCCATTCTAGAATTCGCCCTAAAACTGATATCCCGTTCTAGAAATGGGCCAATTTTTTATACTCCGTTCTAAGGTGCAATAAGAGTACAGCGGTTTGCTTGTTAACGCATTGAACCGTATGTTTAAAAGCAATCTGTCCTTGAATAATTTCAAATGTCTGCTTACAAAAGTGGAGCTTTCGTGCGTTCGAAATATTATACCCCGTTCTAAAAAACGCCTCTGAAATGGATACCCCCGCTCTAAATCAGGAGCTTCAAAATCACGACCCCTTTGGGCGGCACATACCCGTATAGGTAATGTATGGAAGTACCCCCCCCCCCGGGGGGGGTTTCCCTCCTTTTGTCACGCCTCTTTCCACCATGCTTTGATCACGTGCTGTAATGTAGCCCGAGCGGGGTACATTGCTTAATGTATCACGATCGGGATACATTTGATTTTAGTCAAGGCCACGTGACCAAGAATCAACCAATGGCAGTCCCTGTTTAGTTGAGTAAAAGTCTAGGAATAAAACATTATCACTGACCAATCTTAACTGGCTCAAAGACAGTACCGTCGAACTTCTCCTTACCAATACCATTTTATTGCTGAGAGTTCTCTTATGTAAATTTAAAAAAAATCAACTACTGGATCCTACTGAAATTCTGTGGAATATTCAACTTGTAGCTAATTCAGTTAAAGTTCCAAGGAGCAGCCGAAGTTCATTCAAATATGTTGAATTTAGGAGTTAGACGTGAAACGCCACATGCCGTTCGTACTTCAGCTAAATTTAGCGCAAGTCAATCGAGTTTTAGACCGGTTTTTTAAAGTTTGATACTTCTGAAGCCATGAGTTAAGGACGGTAATAGTTTCTTCAGATTTTTATGTAAACTGGTGCAGTCTTGATTAACTATCTGCGCCGTTTTTGTTTAGTCGAGGGAATAAACACTTTGGTGAGGTGTCCCTGCCTAGACATAGACATGGACACTTTATTTTACGTGGTAAATATGCTTCGCCATACACATATCCCACGGGTAAAATTATTGCAGAAATTAATTTTTGAATTACTAACTGCTAAGATTATGAATTAGCTATAATATAATTCAGCTGATAATTTAAAATACTTTTAACCTGAAATTATGACATTAAGACCAAAGTCAAAAAAGTTTTACAAATTTAAAACTTTAAACCACGTACCCCGTTAGCAAATTCCTTCGTTCCAGCTTAAGCACGCAAATTGTCCCTATTCCGCGCGGCCAGACGAGTTTTGACTCGGCTCCAGCATAACGCTTTCGTGTCACGTGACTGAACACCTGTAAAGGATCTAAGCAGTCCGAATAAAAATCACGGTTTCGATTCCTTTCTGCGCGTCCATGATATCTCATTATGAAAATATAAAGATGATATCTTAAAAGTGCGTTTTTATTGCTTTAAGAATCAAAAATTATTTTATGATTCTAATTGGCAGTTCTCTCCGACAGCAAGTCTAGACTGGGTTTGTGCCGCAGGCAAAGTTACCAACACAGCTATTGCATCATTGAAAATGTTTCTCAGTTAAAAAGGAAGGCTGTGAATCAATTGCTGTTGTTTTCAAGTGATATGACAGCTGATATGATTATCGTATTATTTTTCGACGACCAATCCGCAAAAGTTATCGGTTGTGACTCAAAGCTGGCGCAGTTAATATGCAAATTTCAGCTTTAGTCTTTGGGAGTCATTACGGAGTTTAAGATACGGAGACTACGGACTACGAACTACGGCTGGACGAGCGTTGTCCTTTGTTTGTAGCACTGGATATAGAACGTTAAGATTGCACTACAGACAGTAGACTACGAGAGAAGAGGCGGAGAGGGAAACAACACGCAAAGATTTTCTTGTTTTTATCACAGTTCACAAAAATACAAGTCAGTTTTGCTTGTGATCTTATCTTTAGAACAGTGAACAAATTCTTCCATACTTGAAGGAAGTAATTACGTCGGGTGAAACTGGTAAACAAAGTTTTGGTTACACAGGTTTTATTTTTTCGCCCACGAATACTTATGTCAAATATTCAGTAAAGAAATAGATAGAAATAGTAACAGCTCATTTATTAGATTTAGAAGATGGACTTCTCCGACTACTGATCTGATGTACTTTGAAGTATTGAAATGCCGAGTTTCGATTGTCTCGAAGATGTTTACATCATTTTCATTCAGCAAATACGATACAAAAACTCGCATAAACAAAGGTTACACAAGTAGAAAAACACACTAATCAGTTCGAACAAACATTGAAACTTTTCAAGAGCGAAGAGAAAGTAAATTACCTGCATGATTTCTCTTCTCCTCAGCCGTCAATCTGAATTCTGCGTATAAACAGCTAAGTTTATTTAAATATGAGCTTAGCTAGATAAAAATGTAGTCACAACGGTGGATTAAAAGCGTAAATCTGAGCAGAAATTAGACACAACTTACATATTTCGCTTCCCCCTCACTTAAGGCAGGTGAATTGAAACTTTTTTACGAAAAGACGAGATTATTGAATTACCGAGACGGCAAAAATACGAGCAACTACGTGGGAAAAATGAACAGTCACGTGGTTTTGATCATGCGCAGTAGCATGTTTAACCGTAGTCGTAGTCCGTAGTCGCCGTATCTTAAACTCCCTATTCTAATTATGAAAGCCGAATAGTAGTTGCTACAAAGTACAACCAAAGGATGGATAAAGATGAGTAACATAGACCTACTATCTACCTTCTTGACGTTCCGCAGTTGCACAGAAGTCTTTGAAAAGGTCATAGAAGCTTTAAAAGACGCAGATCCAGCGATCGCTGTTCTTGCGCTTGAAGGTCTCTTCTGCATTGAAGAAAAGGTAAACTCAAAGCAGTTCCCTGGGGTTCCAGAATCTCAAGTCAAAAACATTTTGCGAAAATGGCGCTGCGAGTCGCCACTAAGTTGGGGATATGAGACAGATAGGGCGCCTAAGTTTCTCAAAGGTCTCACAATCTTTAAAACCCTTCAAGTTCCGCTATTCATCGATAATTACGGGAATAAGGAACTATTGAGCAGTTTTAAACCTGAAGAGAAAATGGACGTCAGAATTGATGGAGACACACCGATATTTCACGTTACTCACCAGGAGGAAGCCGAAAGGATAGCTAGTGAGGGTAAGTTTCAACCGAGTGATAACAAGAACATTATCAAAGGAATTTGGTTTGGACTTGACGATCCGACAGATTGGAGCAGCGTCTATGGTAACAACAGCTTCGAAACGACGCTTTCAAAGCTAGGTGTTGAAGGGCTACATCAAGGCGAGGTTGTCTCGTACAAGTACGAGGTCAATGTGATTCTCTACGCCGCAGATGATGATGGGTGCAACTGGAATGGATTGAATAAACCAACCGATGAAGCTGTTAACAAAATAAACGAAGGAGCATATGTAAAGGTATCCATATTTGTGCCAGCAAGATTCTTAAATGCAATCTCTGATAAATTTCATGAAGTTGTTAGCGGTCCTACTAAAGTTGATCACGGTCCATTTTGTGTCAGGGAAAAGCGATCAGACTATGAGTGCAAAGAACTGGGAAAGCATACATGAATGAATGAATTAACTTTCTTTATACACGGAAGTAATTTCAATATGCAAAATTGCTTTTCAAATTAGCGACCTCGCTGAGCGTTTGCGAAAAATTAAGCTTCAGGAACTTTCAAACATTGTACATGAATGGAACGGTCATCTAGTAATTTTTAGCCTTCCTCAAGCTATAGAAACTTCTAGGCAATTTTTGATTCTCCGAACAGATATTTTACATAAAATAGTCGTTGCCATTAAGTGCCCCTGTACTGAAGACAAATATGCTGATCCGTATCAGTTTGTCCACAGCTATGAAGCGAAGCCATATGCACGTACAGAATTTTATGCGTGACTTTTGATACAATTGTACAATATACATCTCTTATTATCAAAACAGCTTAGTAAATGTTGTTTATTTTTAAATTATTAAATTATTTAAATTATTTAAATTATTAAAATAATTAAACGTTTTAATTGATGGTTTTGACTTCGAATGGTTTTACATATATAATGATATATTTGCTTAATTTGTCGCTAAATAATACGCCTTTGTAAGGTTCATGTTTGATTCTTTTACCTTAGACGGTTCACAGTCCTCTATTTTTCTGTGAGATCGTCGAGATCGAGCGCGTCTTACTATTAATGGCGGCCATCTTGATTTTCAGTCGTACCGAGTCTAACCTGGGGAAGAGTATCAAATCTACTTAGGGGGCGGGGGACGGTTTGGGAGGAGGCGAGAAATATATTTTTCTCGCCCCCCACCCCCTAGAGCTATAATCCCCGACGCCCGCCCCCTCGGTACATCTAAAACCCAAGATGGCCGCCATTAACAGCAAGACGCGCTCGATCTCGACGATCACACGGAAAAATAGGGGACTGTGAACAGTCTACTTTTACCTGGACTGGTATTATCTATCCTTCAAGGATATTGATACTTCATTTAATCTCAACTAAAACACATTCCGCGCAAGGTGTATATACCGCCAGCCTCTTCCTTGAATTTTCAAATATATTGCTTTTTGTTGGATTTATCAGAATATCGAGAATGATAATGCAGGGTCGTAACGAGGTATATTTCTTCATTTCCCGACTGATACCACTGTTTTGGCCTTGAAATTTGATCCCTGGTAATTCCAAAAACTTAACAAATCTTGATCCCATATACCGTGAAAATTTGTTGACCCCTCGATTTAGCTCAAACCCCGAATCGGGGTTGGATGAACTGTGTGTAATAGCACTCTTTGGTACCTAAACAAAATTAAGTGTCTTTCGGTTGTTTTGAAAGTTACACAGTTTTGTATGAGATAACCTGAGATCAGGCCCAATTTTAGCGGTTCTCATACATTCTTCTAACGGCTACCGCCAGGTTACCGCTAAAATTGGGCCTGATACAAAGGGCGTGATCCATTCAACCAAAATTCCAACCGGTTGAATGGATCGCGCCCACTCTCACAAGTTTGTGCTCACTGCGGCCAGATTTTGGCCGCAACGCTGATTGGCTGTGAGAACAATGCCACAAGATCTGATTGGCTGTTGGAATCAACAGAAGTTAAAAGCCCTTATTCTTCGCGTGGTTGTTTTCGCGAATGATCAGCCGTTGGCGGAGAGAAGGATCGATTTTGCTGTCTTTTTTATTGTTTTAAATTCAGAAAATTCAGATGGTTGTTCTTATCTGTCGGAACTATTTCTCCAGACAATAAACTCACGCTCACGACAATAAACTCTCTCTCGGTAAAGATCACTAGCTCTCGCCATGTGCTTTTTTGCTGATACATCACTTCTTGAAAACGACGTCCTATAATATCCATAATCCTAGCTTCCAGGCCCCGACGACCTTTGGGTGCGCCTGAAGAGTTTACAAAGTTAAAAAAACGCGAACGAAACATTCTTAACATCCGAGTATCAACCTACGAATTCTCACATATTTTCTCAGGATTTGCTTTATTTACGGAACTAATGTGAGTGTATCGCACCTTTGAATCTCTCTGCAAGTTGTTGATCGCGAACAATGTGTAGCCTGTGCCTTTTGATTTACCAACAAACGAGTATAAATCAAAATACCGTCCATCTTAAAACTGGTTTCATTTGAAAGTTTAGCCGGAAATGACTTCTCTGAACGGGGTACGCAAGCGGAGGCTCACTGCGAAAGAAACCTCAATCGCCAACTGTGAAGTATTAGATGAAAAATATCGCATCGCTGTTCAAGGAATTTTTTGTGGGCATTATTATAAGCTAGTGGCGCTAGTCTTAAGGTAACAGACTTGTTGTTCGCCTTCGGTTTTTGTAAAAAAAAAAAACCCGGAAAACTGGTGTCCTCGCTCGTTGGCTATTTCCTGTTTGTTAATTTTGATTAATAAATTTAGCGAGCTTTTCAGACCTGCAGTAAAACAACAACACAACTAGAGAGAACTTCAAAGTGTGTTTGTAATATTGTTTTTCGTTTTGTTTATAGGTCAGTTGAGCATGCATTTTTAGTAGTGTCGTTCGGTCTTTCCAAATAGGAAGATAACATTAACCCGGATTTATATAAAAAAATTTTTTTTGAGTCGTTTGTTTCTCTAGTAAATTCGCAAATTGCTCTAAATCAGCTAAATATAAATATACTTGAGAACTCGTTTGGTTTGTTTTGAGATACGGCAATTTATATATCCTTTGAAAAAGTTTGCGATTTATTTCTCCAAGATTTTTAAAGATTTATGTACTGAAAACCGGGCAAAATTGCCGAGGAAAATATACAGGCAAAAGGAAAAATAGAAATTTCAGTATTTTAAATTCGAGCGCGCATAGCCAAAACATCGTGTCCCCGTCCGTTTCGAAAACTTTTAACCTTCTACGGCAACAGAAATAACCTTCGAGATCTCCTTTAATCTCGTAAGAAGTTAAATGTGATTGTGCTGACTGTTTTATTTTTAGTTCAAAAAATTGATAGGTAAAAGCTATTTTTTAAGTCAGCGAGTCTGCGGTTTTCCCACGTATGACTGAAAAATTTGCATACTAAAAAAGCAAGTAACGGAAGTAATTTTGGCTGGCTGATTCAGCAAATGTCAATCAATCAAAAAAATGGGCGGCAGACGTTTCGTCGAAGGTTTGCATCAGGCTGTGTTTTCGTTTCGCCTTGCCCTCCGGGAATGTTATTTACAAAGCGAAACGAAAATTGAGCCTGATCTCAGGTTATGTATGAGACAGTTCCGTGCAAATTGCATAAGCTAGGGTTTTCCTAGTCCTCTCTACATTGGATTTTGATTTATCTGACTGATCGAAGGCAGTACCTACAAATCGATGATCGCTCGTCGGAACGCATAAATATGTCTTTTGGGGTACCTCAGGGATCCGTTTCGGGTCCTGTCTTATTCGGCAACCTGTATGTCAACGACATACATGCATACATACGATCAATGATTACTCCTGAAGCCTGAACTCCCGTGATTATTAATAGTCAATGCTCTCCAATTAAATGAATTAAGCGCTCTACGAAATACGTTCTACCCAGAATACAAGTATTTACACTGTACATACATAAATACATCCTTTATTATCTTTCCTTAAACAAGGCTTTTCAAAGATAATTACAAAAAGTATAATTACAAATAGAAATGGAGTACAGTAAATATATAAAAGTGGATTGGGTCCTGTCTTATTCAACCTGTATTTCAAGGACATGACTGAAGCACTCCCAACGAAAGTAAAACTGCCATCAGTATGCGGACGATACTACGATCTATAGTTACCGTAAACTGTCTGAGCTTAAGAGTTGTCAGGCAGAAATGTAGGCGGCGCTGAACAAGTTATCATGTCTACCTGGTTATCTCGCTTGGCGTTCAACCCTAAGAAGACTAAAGTAATGCCTCTTTCAACTCCCCAAATGTCAAAAACTCACGGACTAGCAGGACAATACATCAATCCTTGCGCAAATGGAAAGGTTCTCACGCTAATGTTAACTTTCTGCTTATTTGGTTTGGAAGTTCACGAAAACCTAAACTCGAAAAAGATAAAAAAGATTAAGATAAACACAAAGAGTCTCATTGTCAGTGATCCTATATCAGATTATCTTGAAAAGGAATTCCAGGCAATACAGTTCGCGGCTCCTAGTTTTCTTAAAGGGGACTAACGTCCAGGAATCTAACATTCAGGGTTCTTACAACAAGGAATGTTACATCCAGGGGTCAAACCACTACGAATTTACGACCAGGGATCTCAAAACCAGGAGTCGTACAACCAGGGATCTTAGCACCAAAGGTCTTACAACAAGTACTTTTATGACCAGGGACCTTACAATTAAAAAAAATTACAAGCACGACTATTACAACCAGGGGTCTTATAACTAAGAATTAAGAACCTTGGTAGTAAGAACCCCTGATTGAAAGAACCCCTGGTAGCAGGAACCCTTGATTGAAAGAACCCCTGATTGTAAGACCCCTGGTTGAAAGAACCCCTGGTTGTAGGAACCCCTGGTTGTAAGACCCCTGGTTGTAAGAACCCTTGATTGAAAGAATCCCTGTGTGTAAAACCCCTTGTTGTAAGAACCCCTAGTTGTAAGACCCCTGGTTGTAAGAACCCCTAGTTGTAAGACCCCTGGTTGTAAGAACCCCTGGTTGTAAGACCCTTGGTTGTAAGAATCCCTGGTTGTAAGAAACCCTTGTTGTAAA